CCCCGGAAGCCCCGCCCCACCCGGGACACACCCCCGGACGGCGGCGCGCGATTGGCTGCTGCGGGCGGGGGTGGGGCCGAGCTCCGGGCGGTTCTGCGCGGGTCCACTCGGAGCCCGGCGGTCTCGGCCTCGGTGGGGAAACTGAGGCTGGAGAGGCGCAGGGCCTGCCCAAGTTCACCTGGCCGGCGGGCAAAGCGCCGCGAAGGGGCGCACCCGACGGGCTGAGGGTCCGCGCGGTGACCGATGTGCGACGAGCCTGCCGGACCGCGAGTCTCTGAGTCACGCGGGTGGGTGGGTGGAGCCGAGGGGACCTGGCCACCGAGCCCCACCGCGCAGAGCCAGGCGCAGAGTGGAGCGTGCGCCCGCGGTGGCCGCGGGGACCCAGGCTGAAGGGCGACGCGGACGGGCTGGGAGGCGGCGGCCCCGACCCTGCGCCCCGCCCCGGCCGCCCCTCTCGGGGCGAGAGCTGACTCGGTGCCCGGCGCCGAAACTGGGCCGCTGCCAAAGCGGCGGGAGGTCGGGGTCCGGCGCGCAATTTGAGGCCAGGGACAGCGCTGCAGAGGCTTTTGGAGCGGCCCGCGCTGAGTGCAGCCAGGCCACACGGTGCCAGCGCAAGGGCCGCCCCTCCTCTGGGAACGAAATGTGTGCTATGCCGGCCCCCCTGGCTGTCCTCACGCCGCGCCTGCCACCGTGCTATTTGTGGCGAGGAGGGCGCGCTGGGAGGACCTAGCCCGGGAAGGAAACTTCAAGCACGCGTCCCAGTTACGCAGGGGAGCTGCAGCCCAGGCCTTACTTGGCCCTTTTACAGCTTGTGTTCAACTCTCCTTGCTAAATAACCCTGTAACTGTGGCGAACCTTGCCCCACCCTCCAGACACCCACATAGCCTTCCCTCTTGCCCACTGACAAGCCCAACTTTGATTGCTCGGCTAGCAGCGTCTGAAGTTTGCATTGCGTTTCAGAGTTTGCAGAAATCCGTGGGTGGTGGTAAGTGCGAGGGATCTAGCGGCCAGGGAGGCTGACCCAGGCTGCCCTCCTGCGCTCGCAGCCTCATCTCATGCCATAGCCCCGGCCCCAGGCCTGGTCCCCTTGGAACCTGGGTTATGTCAAGGCTCCCTTCCCAGGAAGACCTGGGTCAGCCAGGCCACTGCAAAGACCTGGCAAGAATGGTTCTGAACAGGACCCCAGGCACAGAGGGTGACACGGAGCAGTTCTTAGCAGACACAGAAAATAGTATTCTTGGGTTCTTGGTGCTCCCCAGGTTTTAGGGAGAGAAAATCTGTCCTTTAACCACGTGTCAGGAGAAGTCACTTTGGAACAAATATCTTGGCCGTGGAATGAGGGCAGAAGGGAGCTCGGGACCTTCCTCAGGGGGGGGATTTGGCAAGAAACTGTGCTGTGTTGGCTGCCCCAGAGGATGCTGGGTCTCTCTCGGGAAACCACTTTCAGAGGAGAGAGGTAGAGGACCTTACCACACCCCCGGTGTGGGCGAGACTGTCACAAAGGGCACCAGTGCCGCTCCGGGAGTCTCTCCGTCCTTCCCTCCTGCAGTGCAAAGGGGCATGCACATGCATAGGAGCAGTGACCCCATGCATGGACTAAGTAGAAATCTCTGACTCTGGGGACCCAGCAGTGCTCTTGGAAACATCTCTAGGTACCTCCCTGGTCTCCTCCTTGGTGCCTTAGGCACAATTTTTGGCACCTGTATCTTCATTCCCAGCTTTCTTGCTGTCTTGGACCGCTTTCTGCATTTTTTGGGGGGGGTACCAGGAATCGAACTCAGGACCTTATGCTTGCCAGGCAGGTGCCGTGTGCTGCTGAGCTATATCCCCAGCCCACCTTTCCACATTTGGTGACCTTGAGGATGTTCTGAGCGGCTGCGAGGTAATTATTGTTCTGCTCACAGTACAATAAGGAAACAGGCCCGGAGAGCCAGGCCTGAGCACCGAGCCACTGCTGCATGCCATTGTCTGCCAGCACAGCCGGAGTAGGAACCCAGGACATCCCAGGAGAGCAGGGGCCTGGAAGGGGCAGTCTGCAGTGACAGGGTCCTGCCACTCCATGCAGGCAGCAGATTAGATGCCAGAAGCAGGCATTTGCAGGTGGCACTGTGCAGAGAGCTTGTGACGCTGCCTGCTGGCCCAGCCCCTGACTGTGGTGCTCTGCCTTGGATCTGGGGTCCAACTATGCCCTTGAACCATCCACAGGCTCCACGGGTCACTGGTTGCCCTCCGCTGAGCCTTCTGGTGAGTTGGAGTTTGTGTCCTGGGTGTCATCCGCCAGGCAGTGTCCTCTGAGCACCTGGAAGCATGCCCCAGTCAGGTGGTGCAAGTCCACGGGGCAGGGGTAGGTTTTATTTGCTGACGGCAAACGGAGCTGCTGGTGACTTGAGACCGGATCCTACATGATGAACAGGCCGTGGGCACATGCCTGGCTGCTGCTCCAGGGCTGACATCAAAACCTCGCTGATCCAGGGGACAAAGTATTTTTCCATGAAGGCAGGAGGCTGACAGCAGCATGGAAAGGCTGCTGGCTCTACCTTCATTGTGTGGGTGGAGAAACCAAGGCTGGGGGTGATGACCACTCTCAGTCAGTCTCCGGGAGGTTGTGGGAACCTCTCAGGGTGCAAACCCACTCTGCCCAGGGACCCGAGCCACAACCTGGGGCAGAGGCCACCTGCTGGCTCCATACTTCGGCCATCCCAGCCCTGGCACTCCCAGGGGGGTGGCAGGAGCAGGATCCACATCTCTGGCAGGAGAGAGGAGCCAGGCTGCAGGGGAGGGGAGAATGGGGCAAAATGGGCAGGGGTGAGTCGGTGGCCAGACTGCCAAGGCCAGGGCAGTGTGTCTCCATCCAGACAGGAAATAATAAAGGTACTCATCGGGCAGCGGCTGGCCCTGGAGTGGCCACGGGCAAAGCCATGTGCTCAGTGTGTGTCGGCGGGATCTGCAGCTTCTCCAGATCCTGCTGCCACCTTGGACGCGCTGTCCTTTCAATGATTAACCTGCCTTGGCCAAAGTTTGTAGGTGCTTTGCTCCTCGTGGGCCCAGCATCTGTCCTCGTGGTTCTCGGCAGGCCACAGCGGCCTGCTACCCTCCCTGAGACAGAGGCCTCCCTGTGTCCCTTGTGCCTCTGTCCCCACTTGGCTCCAGGTGTGGAGGCTGCGTCATCATCGGTGTCTTCTATCCAGTCCCACGCACATCTGGAGCTCCGGGCCCAGCGTCATCTGCCAGCAGCCATGGGAGTCTCGCTGCCAAGCACGATGTTCCAATGGATTCTGTCCCTAAAGAGGCTCCGGCTTGCACGGAGAGGACCCAGGCGGGGGCCTGGCCAGGTGGGGGCCGGCGATGTGCAGCAGCTGTGGTCCCCAAGCACATGGGACAGAGCCCCCTCCGTCCCACGGATGCTCTCCGTGTGGTTTCACTTACCCGTGGTTAATTGCAGTCTGAAACTATTAAATGGAAAACTCTAAACGATTCACGAATTTGACATAGCTTTTATTACAGTATACAAAAACAGTATAGGGTACCGTAGAATCCCTTGGAGGCTGAGGCAAGAGGGTGGCAAGGGTGAGGTGTCATACTGAGGTTTCAGGCACCCAGTGGGGATCTTGGGCTGGATCCCCACAGAGAACAGGGGCGGCTCTGTGTGCAAATGTATGTTCACGTCACTGCCTCTGCCTGGGATGCCCCCATGAAGTTAATCAGCAGCACCTGGAATTTGGACCCTAACAGAACTGGACTTGCTGTACCTTTTAGACACTTTACAACCGCAGGCATTTGACTTGACTCTGATCTGAGCCCCCTCATCTACCAAGAGGGCAGCAAGGCCAACCTCAAGGGTCGGGTGAGGGTGAGGAGGGGGCTGAGAGGCGGGTCTTGTTTCTGACATGATGGCCACTGGCCTGAGGGCCACCTCCTCAGGAAGCCCACCTGGCACCACCCCCCTGCTGCATGAGCCCCGAGCTCCTGCGCCCAGGGTGGCTCCTGTCCAGCTCAGCACTGTCTCACGATGCTCTGTCCCTGTCCCCTGTCCCTACCCGAGACGCTGACGGAATCCTCACTGTGGAAGGTGTGCCCAGTGCCTGTCCCTCACTCCCGCCTGTGATCCTCCATCCAGGCCCGTCTGCCCTTCTGGGAGGCCCCTGCCAGCTCCCGGGCACTTTGAATTGAGCCGGGGTCCTGCAGGGCTGAGTGGGGCAGGTGGAGTACCCGTGTCACTGGGTCTTGGTCGTCGCTGACATGAGGAAGCAGGCCACGGTCCCCCGGCTCCCAGGAGGGACAGGGCGTGTTTGACAAAGTTTCCTGGTTTGTGGCAAAGTGGGTGGGTGGGGAAGCCATGGTGGAGAGTACTTTAGAAAGCTCCATCCCCACTTGATTTAAAGCCAGGGACAGTAGCACAGGCCTGTAAACCCAGCACTCTGGGAAGCTGAGGCAGGAGGATCACAAGTTCAAGCCCAGCCTGGTCAATTTAGTAGTTTAGCAAGTCTATAATCCCAGCAGTCTGGTGGCTGAGGCAGTAGGATCACCACATGTCCGAGGCCAACCTGGGCTACTAAGTGAGCTCAAGTCCTGCCTGGACTATGGATCGAGACCCTGTCTCAAAAAGACAATAAATAAAAAAAAAATAAACAAATAAAATTAAAAAGGGCTGGGGATGTAGCTCAGCGCGAAGGACTCAGGTTCAGTCCCCAGTACTGTGACAAAAAGGAAGAAAGAAAAAAAGAATGAACTGTCCCTCTTCTCCCGGAGACGCGTCCATCCCCCTTCTCCTGCTGTTGAACATGCTTGCTGGCGGAAGTTGCGTGGACGAGGCAGCCGTCAGAGCTGACAGGGACTTGCTCCTTTGGATGTGCCAGGGCCGAGACCGTGGCAGCCCTGTGTGCGCCAGTCTGGAAACCTGTTGTTTTCCAGTCCTAATTGGCACAAAAACCGGAGGCCCCCGTAGCGCCTGCCCTGCCCAGGTGAGCCCGCTGGCTGGCACACCCTAGGTATGAGGTGAAGGCGTCAGGCCCTGCTCTCTCCCCCGATGTTTATTTTCAAATCAATGCCTCCGTGTGTGTTGAGACTTGCAGGGTGGAATACAAACCTCAGGTTGAGTGCTGATCCGACCTTTAGGAGGCCAAGGGGCAGGGCGTGGGTGGTGGAGCCTCTGGGAGTCGTGCCCACCGGGCTGGCACCCACGTGGCCCCACCCGGGAAGGAGGGGTGTGCTCTGTGCCTGGGGTCTGGGGATGAGGAGGATCTGGCGGAGCGAGGCGGGAAGGAAGGTTAATTCTGCGGCGGGGGATGAGGAGGCGTTGGTGTTTCTCTGGAAGCGGACAGCAGCGCGAGCCGAGCTGGTGGTGGGAGCAGACGGGCGCGTGGCACTCGAGGTGGAACAGTTAGTGGGTCGGGCATCTTAGCAAGCATGAGTGCTGAGTCTGATTTTTAAAACAAAACCAAGAAACGAGCTAGTGATCAAAGTAGGAGTCAAAGGCTGAGCTGGCTCTTTCCAACCATGGTCCCCATTTTCCCACCCAGGGACTCCAATTCTGCCCTCTCTTCACCAAGCAAGAGGGGCGCGAGGGGCTCCTGGAGTTGCCCAGACATTTTCTCTGCTTTCTCCTGTTCCCTGCCTCCTGGGGTTGGGTGCTTCGGCCACCGGCGTCCCCTTCACCTGGGCTGTGTAGCTGCTGCCCCTGTGCCCCAGGGCACCGCTCTGCCCGGCTGGCCTGGGCTTGGCCTCCCTGGCTCCAGGGCCCCAGGCAAACTCTGCCTCCCACTTTGTTCCTTCTCCCTGGAGCTTGCCTGCCCAGTCTGACGGGGACGCTGCCTTCCCCCCATTTGTGGCTGCACCTGGTCAGCTCACAGGAAGATCGCAGACCAGGCCTGCTGCCCCCTGGGATCAAGCGTGGGCTTTGAACCTCGGCAGGCCAGGGCTGGGGCTGCAAACGTCCATGCCAGGCACAGGAGGCCTCACGTTGTGGGCGCAGGAACTGGGCCTTCATCTGATGAATGTGGGGAGCCCCGAGGGCCACTGAGCAGACAGTGACTGGCACCGACACAGGGGACTTTTCTGTCCACAGGCCTAGCTGGCCCAGAGCCCAGAGGAAGGAGCAGGGGACAGCGTCCTGAGATGTGATCTCCGGGGACCGCACAGCACTGCTACCAAATGGCCAAAGGTGATGGTGACCTTGCCCTGGTGAAGGACATGGTTTGAGGAAAATGACGGTGTCCTGTGCGGCCCATGAAATCCGGCTGTTCCAAGGCATTCTGTGACAAAGCACCTGTGGGAAGTTGGAATGACAGCTCTGTAACAGGTGTGCTGCTGGCGGGGCAACTGAACCAGGGACGGGGAGCAGAATTTAAATTCTGAGCTCTTTAGCATCTCCCCCAAATTATCAGATTCAGAAAACTGCAGGCAAAACAAGAGAGGGACACAACTACGGAAAAACGCCGACTTGCTCAGCACGTGGAATCTCTTGCAGAATCCAAACCTGAGTGCATCTGATTGTGTGTATTACTCCCAGTGCCCCACACTGAGGTGGAGCGAAGTCAGGGAGTGTCATCTCCCCCCTTGGGCCATCAGCCACCTGCCTGGCAGCCCCTGTGTGTCCCTGGTGGCTGGGCAAGCTGGGGGACATGATGTCCTGGGCTTGCGACCTCCCCTGCAGGATTCCAGGGACCTAGAACATTTGCACTGAGCTACATCTCCAGCCCCTGCCCTTTTTATTTTGAGAGTAGGTCTTGCAAAGTCACTAACTTGCTCAGGATGGACTTGAATTTGTGATCCTCCTGCCTCAGCCTCACAGAGAGCCGGGATCACGCGTGTGGGCCACTATACCTTGCTTTGAACTTCACTGTTACATCAGGGTGAGGCCTTACGGGCCGCCAGCTGATGACGGGATAACACAGCATCCCACCAGATTCTTTGTACCTGGACCTCTGTCTAGTCACCACCCCTGCCACAGTCAAAGCCCAGTGTCCCCAGATTGGCAAAAAACACAAGGCTCAGACACTTTGCTTTCCTCCTTCCCCAGCGGGTGGCCGGGCAGGACCTGTCCTTATGCTGTGTCTTCACACCTCCCCTGGCATAGGGAGGAGCTGTTGACCTAGAGGGGGGCTGGGAAAGTGCTCAGGGTACAAGGCGCTACCCCCTCTCAGCCCTGCAGGCGACCACACCTCTGCCTGCTCCCTGCTATGGAAATGGAGGCCCAGAGGCTGAGCCACTGCCCAAGAGCCCAGGGCCGGGTGCCTGGCGGCCCTGCTCAAGTGTCCTGATTTTTCCACTCCCTCCCTGGCTCTGTGACCTTGGACAGTCACGGCCACCCCGTATCCCTTCTCACTGTAAAATGAGAGGCCGGGCAGGCCGTTGTCAGTCTTCGCTGCCAGCTTGGGGTTCTGGTTATGCTCGAGGTGTGACGGTGACATCAGCTGCCCAGGCGGCGAGGGAGCTGGCTTTCCCATCTGGGGCAGGCAGCGTGGACACATGACCGCCCGGCGGAGCAGGTGGCGAGTGGCACCCAGCGTCCCGTGCTCCACGCTTTGGAAAAGCTTGCAGGAGCAGCCCGAGCCTGGAATCCCCTCCCAGCCCCGAAGAGCTCAGCTGCCCTGCTCCCTGGAGCCTCCCAGGCTTCCCGGGTCAGCTCAGAGGCACCTGGCCTCATCAAGGCCGCACCTCCCAGCCCTGTGCCTGCTCCTCGCTGGTCCCTGACACTGCCGCTGTCGCACCTGCAGCTTGGGTCTGAAAACCGACAGATCTTGCTGCTCCAGGAAGAGAGTGCCCGACCCCAGGGCTGCTCTGGAAGTGACTGAACCATGGGGGCCCAAGGCTGGTGGCCGCGAAGCCTCTGATTCTTCGCCAGAAGCAGACCCTTGGGCTGAGGGAGGGAAGCTGGCCCTGGGCTCCTGGCCAACCGCTCCCATGCCCTTTGGTGGGAGCCCACAAGCTGGCGAGGAGGGGCTCCTGGCAGGACCCGAGGCCCAGTGGGAGCTGTCCGACTGGGGGTGCCCCGAGGACAGGCCAGGGCGTCTTCTCCGTCCAGAAGGCAGGCTGGGCTGGGGGACGGCTGCTCCACCCCAGTCGGTGTTCCAAGTCGGACCCCGTCCCGGCAGCAGGGTGACCTGGGCCCTTGGCCTCTCCCCCTGTATCTCCTTGTCTGTCCTCCGAGGGCTGCAGTGGAGGTCACACTTCCTGGCTGACCTCCCAGTCCTGCCTCAGCGGGCTACCCCGCTGCCCTGAGCTCTGTCCGTGACCGCACCCGACAGGCCGGCAGCGTGCAGGCCCGGGGGCCACCCTTCGGCCAGGGTGGCTGCGACCATGTCCTCAGCACTGCACTTCCATTCCACTGCTTTGCACAGCTTTCCCTGCTGCGGGGCGTCTCCTCCTCACCTCTGTTTTCCTCTAAGACTCACCTCGGGCGCCCGCTCCTCCAGGAAGGGCTCACTCATCTCCCCTCTGGGCTGTGCCGCCTGATGGCGCCATGGATTCTCCTT